CGTTCACATCGAAGCGCGGAGCCACAGGAGTGTCCTGCTGGTAGCTCACCTCCCAGTTCTACAACACACAGGATCACACACTTAAAACATGCTAAATTGTTACTGAATTAATTGTAGCATGTAGTATGGTAGAATAGATTACAGGCAGAAATAGAAAAGGTGTTTTGTCTAAACCTGGAGCATTTAAGGAAAGCCTCAGAAGCTCAAAGGAAACAAATCTGCACATTTTCACATAGAAACGATTACCTCCACCGGCGCAGGCATAACATGTGTTTGTAGCAGGACTTACCTCATGCATGTAAGGGAAAACAAGAAGGCCCAGCTTCTTCCCCACGTACACAGTATCCACGGCAAAGTAATATTTCATCTTAGAAATTGGAATGAACCGGTCCAGCTGAAACATAGAGACATACACACGTGCATTATTCAGACAGCTTTTGCCTTGACTTTATATATCGCCAGGCCTTTGACACCATTTTGAAGATCCCCTTTGTCATAAGCTATGAAACATTAATGACTCAGTCTTACATTCTTGTCCACCATTTCCCTCCCCTGGGAGGCCAGTGAGCTGCCATAAGCCATCGCCAGGTTAGACATTGGGTCTGACAGGAGGGACTGGCCGGAGAATCCTGCTGCTTGAAGCCCAGCCTGCTGGTTACTGCCAACAGGACACAAGAACATGTATTAAGTATTAGGAACATAATGTGTCATCATAGGGCTAATAAAACACAAACATATAGTCAACTTTATTGGGAGGAGTGACGATACAAAAAACAACTGCAAAGATGAAATAAAAGATAGTAAGTTAGTTGGCGTAACGTTATCACAGTAGCCTGATTTTGTATCGAACGCGTTAATTCAAAAAACAATTGGACAGTATATCCTAAACAGTTTAATATCCAGCCTAACTTCAGACTGTGTCCCACCTGTATCCTGCCTGTGGTCCCGCTGCAACTCCACTCGTATCCTCAAACAGCTGGCTGCCATCTGTACCGTCCATTGAGTCGATATGCATGTTAGGCTCTGCATGGAGAAACAGACCGGTAAGAGATATTTCAAACAAAAGGAGTAGATTTGGACCTCTCCAATCAAAACTGAAGGGGATGCAAATATTTGGTAGAAAAGTAAGCAAAGCGAGCAAAGCCAAGGCAGCCTCGATAACTTCTTAGAAACCAGCATGCATCACTTTTTATGTCCTTCATATAAATCTGATCTTCAAATGCAGTGACATCCAAGAACAGTTATTCCGTCTGCCCTTCCTGTGGACATGCTGATAGATTATTTTTAACATGCAAAACTTTCAAACTTTCTTTTCAAACATAATTATTTCCTTTTTTTCTATTCTTATTCAGTCTGACAGCATATAACAGACATTACAAACTTTGAAATATACATGGACCTCCGTTGGTTAACTACTACACACCAAAACAGTTAAGGTATTGCTTACATAGTGGTAAACATCAGCATATTTAATGCACCACTGCTTCAGCATCATGTTTAATCAAAATACAAAACAAGATCAGAGTTTAAGGATCAACTATTTGTATGACTGTGCACCAGAGGCCAGTGAAGGCCCTGTTCAGAAGAAAGAGCTCTGTATATGCATTCCCTCAGGGAGTAATAATAACCTTATCACACATGTATCACTAGGCCAGATTACATCACACCTTAGAAGCCACTTACAGTTTCAGTTTGAACCTCCCTTTCCAGATAATCCTAATAGCAATACATGTATGACGGATAGATATAAAACCTACAGAATGATAGGAAGTGTCGAAACGTCACTGAGTCAATTTACTCAAATACTGTACCAACAATAACAACAAACAAGAACCATTTTGAGGGACTTGTATACTTTACTTGAGTCTATCAATTGATCAATACTTGTTTTTTCCCCCCACCACAAATCAGTAGTAAAAGTACGTATTGTGAAAATGAGTCAATTTCAGAATATGATATGTTTTTATAATTATTGATGCATCAATCTGTTTATCAAAGTTACTAAAAGTGCATAGTTTTAAATACTTTGTATTAGCTTTAAATAGCTTGTGAATGTACTCCAGATGAGCCTTAAGTCTTGTTTTAGTGTTGATTATATTTCACATTATTCATCCAAATCTGCAAAGCTACTAAAGGTATTAAATAAATGTAGTAGAGTACTTTTAGTATACAATACACCTCTGAATTGTAGAGGGGTAGAAGTACAAAGTAGCATCAAATGTAAATACTCAAGTAAAGTACAAGTCTCTCAAAATTGTACTTCAGTATCGTACTTGAGTACTTACTTTCCACCTCTGCTAACCAGTAAACATTATAAATGTATACAGTGTTTATTAATAGTTTGTGGACAAGCTAACGGCTACTAACGTTAACTCAGCATTTATTAAACAGATAATATCTCTCAGATTGGCTAACGTTAGACTGGTGGACTTTAACAGAGGACTGTTTTTGAGTCTCTGTTTTTACAAGTTGTTATATATAGCTAGTTGTTAGCCTCAACCGGCTGGAACCAGCAACACCTCCACTCAGTCCTGTTTACACTGCAGAGAGCTAGCAAGTACAGAATGTGCAAATGCAGGCGTTAGCTAATACTAAAAGCTGAGTTGATTGACAAAATCACGTACGTAACTTACGCTGTCTGAACCCACTTTGAGTTGCAGTATAATCCATTTGAACCGTGAGGATTGCAGCAATAGATGTA